CCGGCAACAAGTGCTGGTAACCTCGAAGAAATCTAGAGGATCAATTGCACACATAAGAAGAATGTGCTTTTACACGTATCCCCAGGAAAAAATGGAAGTCATTGATAAAATGTCAGAGCACAAACTGTTAACATTTAGAGCAAATTCCCCCCAAAAATGAAGATTGAAAATTTAATATTCAAATATTTAGCTCATTAAGCTCAACATTACCATCCATATAAGAAACCAAAAGCTATATCCTAAATGTTTACACCAACAAATACACACAAAAAAAAGAAAAAGAGAACTGATTTTAAAAGAAAATAGAAATACATGTATAATCATTAGCAACAACAAAAAAGGGAAAAAATCAAAGGAACTATCGTAAGTGCTGATAGTGAATCAATTACCTCTGCCAACATGTGGTCCGCTTCATCAAATACAAGAATCTTCATGCAACTCATGCCCAGTTTCCTTGCCGTCACCCACTTATTTACAGTTCCAGGTGTGCCAATTACTACTTGTGCTGAAACAGGTGGCCGCTTTGAAATTGGTATGTAGTTGGCTGCATCTGCTGGGATAGCTAATTCTGATGTTATACCAGTGAACTTCCCCATCTTCAACAACACTTCCATATTCTGCAGCATTTTTCACCATTTTATACCAACCCTTCTCCAGTTTCGTTTTTGATTGATGAAGAATCTTCTTAAGTTTTTCTTTGAAATGTAACAACGTTAAAAAAGATCCTTCCTACGGTTATCTCCCCATTTGATTCAAGTTCCCCATAAAAAACAGTTTAAACCACCACTCCAGATGGCAAACAACCAGATAAAATATGAAGATTTCGCGTCATCAATGAAACTATCTTAAAAACTATATACAAGAACACATAAAACATAATCTAACAGGCATCATGATAAAAGTTTCTAAAATGTAGATGCGTAGAAGCACTTTTCTTTCAAAAAAGGAAACAGATATGTAGTAAAGCAGGTATATATAAACCAAACCACATGAAAAATCCTGACACACATAAGGTTGCACAAAACTTTTTATTCAGCTAATGAATTGATTCATTAGAAAAAAAAGTAATTGATCCTGCTACGAATTAATTCTCCAATGCTAACATTAATATTTCACCCAAAGATTTACCTAGGTCAATGAAACTGGTTGAAAATCTAATGAAACTGAAAACAAAAAAAGGAAACTTTATTTCTTCTCTACCTGCCTAATCCTTAGTCAGCAAGGAGTTTAAGTTTCATGCACAAACGCTGTAAAAAATATTTACACAAATAGCTCACTTAAAAGTTAATTGCATGTACTCTATTTAAAGATATTGATTGATTATCTATAACAAATGTTAAGTAACCTAACAGGTAACAGATTATATTAGTGTAAAAAGTTTATTACGGTGTCATGCATATAACTTAAATCCAAAAGAAAATAAAAGAATAGCATTTATGTAATACTAGCATTTATGTAAAACCTGAATAGCCAATTCTCTGGTTGGACAAATACAGAGAGCTTGAGGGGCACGAATCTTCGGATCAACCCGACTCAACATTCCAAGCACAAAGCAAGTAGTTTTACCAGAGCCATTATGAGCTTGAGCAATAAGATTCTTGTAGGGCGGCGTAAGAATCATGGGTAAACTAATCTCTTGAATTTTGCTAGGTCGCTCAAACTTCATCTCTACATATAATCCTTTCAATAACTCAGGAGACAAGTTTNCAGAGCCATTATGAGCCTGAGCAATAAGATTCTTGTAGGGCGGCGTAAGAATCATGGGTAAACTAATCTCTTGAATTTTGCTAGGTCGCTCAAACTTCATCTCTACATATAATCCCTTCAATAACTCAGGAGACAAGTTTAAATCCTCAAATCTCTTCGCTGATTTGTACAACGTGTCGCCAGATGTAACCTATATTTCATTAATTAAACCCTAATTTATTTATTACTAGTAAAACAAATCAACTTATGAAGCTACTACTGAGTGAGGAAAAGCGTACGGCTTCTATTCTGGAATCTTCTGGATCATCAAGAGTGGAGTTGTTGACTCTTTTGGACTCGTCAATTTGTAGAGATCCGATTTCAGGCTCGGCGCTAGCTTTTTCAGACTGCTCGGCTTGATCTATCTCGTCAGCTTCGTCTGCCCAGCTTCTGGTTTCTCGTGGGTTTGCCGTCGTAGAAGCGGCGGTGCTGCTAGAAGTACTAGAACTGTCAGCCACGAAAGCGGCAGTGCTACTGGCGGTACTAGAACTGTTAGCCATTGGTAGGAGAGGGAGAGGGAAAGTTTATTTACAATTTCTGTTAGAAATATTATGGTTGATGAAAGAAGGTGAATTGGGAATTAGGCTTGGCCGTCGAAGTCTCTGGTTTTATACTTTTGGGGTTCCCACTATATTTTATGTCATTTGTGTTATAAATGAACCGAAATTTTTCAAACTGATATATTATTCAAACTTCAAATATTTGTACATAATGAATTAAAATTTTCTTTATTTATAAAAGAAAATAAGTTATTGTATAAGTTGCTTCTGCAAACTGGTGTATAAGCTGCTACTGTATCAGATATAAATAATTTTCTATCGGGGGTAATATTTATCCATAATGAGGTACCGAAAGTATAAGTTCATTATACCAGATATAGATTATTTTTTACTCGAAATAATATTTATCCATAACGGGGGACCGAAAGGATAAGCTCATTATATCAGATTTGGATAATCTTCTACCGGGGTAATGTTTATCCATAACGGAATACCTAAAGGATAAATTCATTATACCAGATATGGATAATCTTCTACCGGGATAATGTTTATCCATAATAGGGTACGGAAAAGATAAGCTCATTATACCAGATATGAATAATCTTCTATTGGGGATAATATTTATCCATAACGGGGTACCCAAAGGATAAGCTCATTGTACCAGATATAGATAATCTTCTACAGGATGTGATGTTTATCCATAACGGGGTACTGAAAGGATAAGCTTCTTCAGGAGACTTATTTTCAATAGAATACTAAATAGATAAACATATTTACGGTGGAGTCTCATATAGATAAGTTTCTTCATGAAGTTTATTTACAATAGAGTACTAAATGAACATCCATAATATAATATATTTATAACACTCCTCTTGGATATTCATTAAAAGATAATGTGCCTCATTAAAACCTTAATAGGAAAAAACTCGTGGGAAAAAATCCTAGTGAAGGAAAAAGAGTACACATATTTAATAATACGCATAACTAGTTGTCTCAAAAAAAAACCTTATAAGAAAAACCATGTGGAAAAAAACTTAGTAAGGAAAAAAGAGTATAGCGTGTATTTTACTCCCCCTGATAAAAATCATGTTTCAAATATTTGAGTATCCGCATTCCAATCTTATATACCATCTTCTCAAAAGTTGAAGTTGGCAAAGATTTAGTGAATAAATCTGTTGGATTGTCACTTGAACGGATTTGCTGCACATAAATGTTACCATTTATCTCCTTTTATAAATCCCCTTTTAATTGGGCTATGCATGCAGCATTGACTTTGTATAAAATTGTGGATCTTTTATCACATTCCAAACCACATTTTCTTTGAATAAAATGAATCACTCATCCCGACCATACGCATTCCCTACTTGCTTCATAAATAGTTATTATCTCAGCATGATTTGAAGAAGTAGTAACAATAGATTGCTTTGTGGAGCGCCATGATATGACAGTACCTTCACATGTAAACATGTACCCGATTTGAGATCGAGTTTTATGTGAATCAGACAAATAACATGCATTTGCATAACCAACAAGATCTACACTACCTTTGTTAGAATAAAATAAACCCATATCAAGTGTTCCCTTTAAATATCACAATATATGCTTAATCTCGTTTCAATATTTTCGTGTAGGGAAATAATTATATCTTGCTAGTAAATTAACAGAAAATGCTATGTCAGGCCTTGTAGCATTAGCAAGATACATAAGTGCACCAATTGCACTAAGATAACGTATTTCGGGACCAAGGAGTTCCTCGTCCTCTTCTAGAGGTCGGAACAAATTCTTATTCACTTCATGTGATCGAACAACCATTGGCGTACTCAATGGGTACGCTTTGTCCATGTAAAAATGTTTTAAGACCCTTTATGTATAGGTAGATTGATGGATAAAGATCCCGTTTGCTAAATGAGTAAATGTTCAATTTGCAGACCAAGACAAAATTTTGTCTTTCCAAGATCTTTTTTCTCAAATTCTTTCTTAAGATATTCAATTGCCTTTTGGAGCTCTTCTAGAGTTCCAACAAGATTTATGTCATCAACATAAATAGCAAGTATAACAAATTCTGATGTCATTTTCTTTATAAAAATAAATGGACAAATAACATCATTTATGTAACCCTCTTTCAGCAAATATTCACTAAGGCGATTATACCACATACGCCCAGATTGCTTTAAACCATACAAAGATCTTTGTAATCTGATTGAATACATTTATCGGGATTTTAGATTTGCTTCAGACATTTTAAATCCTTCAGGGATCTTCATATAGACTTAATCAAATGAGTCATATAGGTTATGACTTGCATTTAGATGGCATGATATCTTCAGGTGTCTGGACTACAGGTCCGATCCTCACAATCTTTTATAATATTGTGAACTCTATTGTATCAAATATATCGTCGACGATCATTTTGTATCGGTTCCTAAGTGACATAACTTGTTGAGATCTCATCACTTTCTTTATTTTCAGGTACCTGAACTTCTTCTGGAGTTTTATGAAATGTTATGTCGTGGGCTCTTCTAGAGCTCATTTGCTCCTATCATTTTTCAAGGATTGTTACCTTTGGAACCGATCAGCTTACTACGCTTCATGCGTGTAGTAAACTTTATCCTTCATGGACTTTAATTTTAATAGGAGCATTTGCAGCTGAAATATGATATTTAATTTTTGATCAGCAAATGCTTTTGGCATTTGACTTGAATTATATTCTAAGTAAGGATCATATTAATGATAATTCGATTCATATAGCATATTTTTCAGCTTTTTATTCCATCCCCAAATATTAGAAAAACTAACATATATCCCCAATCTTCTTTGGAAAACCTATCTTTGTGCATTGTGGTAGAGAACTTAATCATATACCACACATCAAAAGTTATTAGATAGTAAAAATATTTGGTTTCTAATCCTAAACAATTTGTGAGGGGAGAACTTATCATATTTTGTTGGTCTGATGCATACAAGTGCTGTTGTATGCAATTTAGAAAATCTTAGACCAATACATGAGGCTTTGTTCTCATAAGCAATAGTTTAGCCATTAATAGGAGGTATTCAATACTAAACTAGCTTGGATATAAACCAGCATCATCAAGATGAACTATCTTGATTTCATAATCTTAAAATTATGTTCTTAATTGAGAAAAGCAATTTCAAATGCCAAACTGCAGGTTGACAATAAACACACATGTAACCATCTCATATATGCATCTATAAGTGGTTCACATAATAGGTGAATGGGCCCATATTCACCTTTTATATATTCTAGAATTCAGGGGTCTTAGTCCCAACTCTAGCTGGTAAAAGATGGTATAATCAATTTATTATGAGAACAAGCAACACAAGAGAATTCTTGAAGAATCTTCTAGTTCTTTAGTATATGCTTATCCGAATTCTCAAATAGCTCATTTAAAAATGGCAAATGAAAACTTCAGGTTTATCATGGCATGTGCTATCTCTTAGTAAGTTTCTGATTTACTATGGCATAAACCTTTGCATTAGTAAACTTCTGATTTACTTTGGCTACTTTTGTATTAGCGAATTTCTGATTACTGTAGCTACTTTTGCCTCAGTAAAACTTGTTGATTTACTGCGACTGCTTTTGCATTAGTAAATTTTTGGTTTACTATGATACATGATGTAGTACAAATTGAATAATAAGGCGGGTAACTTCTCATACATATTATTTTACCCCCATGATTGTGGAAACATGAAGATTTTCAATATTTCAATTCTTTGTAGTCTCAGTATGATAGCCATTCGTATTAGTAAACTTCAGATTTACTACAACATATGTTTTGACCATAATTATATAATATAAATGACATATTTGTACATAAGCTCTTCGAGAGCCTTCGTTTATTATCCACAATCAAATATTTATCAGATACTACTGGTGTCATATGTCTTCTAGACAAACAGCTAGCTCTTTAGGAGTTGATATATTTTATAATATCAAATATTGCCCACACACTTCTGGTATCATGAGAGAAATTTTTTTCATAAACAAAATAAATATGATAGTAAACATCATTATCAAAGCATAACTTTTATTTATGTACAATAATTACATAACCATACTATCTACTACAAACAATAAAAATTAAAATATTTACATTTTTACATATTTATCACCGATCACATGACTTGTTTCTCCTTCCGGGAGTGCAAAGTAATCAGCTACATCTAAATGTATGAAATCTAAATTATCTTCAGAAATAAAATTTGCTTCAACATTTTTCTCTGTCTTCTTCAGGGAGGCTTGATATAGCTCTACCAGGTGCTTTGGCATACGACAGGTACGTGACCAGTGCCTTTTTCCTCCACATCTACAATATGTATTTTCTGCCCTTGTTACTTGCACCGCTTCATGCTTTTGTTCCTTCCTTTTTCACTACTGGGGTGAGGAGGGTTCTTTGGTGCATTATTATTACCATGATTAGTGTTTCTTCCCCGACCACGACTATGACCACGAATAGGGTCATGTCCTCTTCCACGCTTAGCTTGGTGGAAGTTCGTCTCATTCACTTCAGGGAATGGACAAGAACATGTAGGTCGGCTTTCATGGTTTTTCATTAATAGCCCATTATATTGCTCGGCTACAAGAAGATGTGAGATAAGTTCAGAATACTTTTTAAATCCCATCTCTCGATATTGCTGCTGCAGGAGCATATTCGAGGCATGAAAAGTGGTGAACGTTTTCTCCAACATATCATGATCAGTCTTATTATTATCACATAATTTCAATTGGGAAATAATTCTGAACATAGCAGAATTATACTCATTGATAGATTTAAAATCTTGTAGCCTTAGATGAGTCCAATCATAACGTACCTGTGGAAGAACGGTCATCTTCAGGTGGTCATATCTATCTTTCAAATTATTCCACGGTATGACTGAATCTTTAATAGTGAGATATTCCATTTTCAAGCATTCATCAAGGTGATGGCGTAGGAATATCATTGCTTTGGCCCGGTCTTGATTTGATGCTTGATTTTTGTCCTTGATGGTGTCTGCCAGACCCATCGCATCAAGATGAATTTCAGCATCAAGCACCCAAGACATATAGCTTTTGCCTAATATATCCAGGGCT